GATTCCGGTAACTTCTTCTCCAAGTTAACTTCAACAAACACTTTAGCCTTATCGAAACTTTTCGCCCAAAGTGTATCCGGGTGCAGTTTCTTAGGCTCTCCCAACGGGCTCGTCAAGAAACTTAGACTTTTCCAAGAAGACATTGAGCGTGGAACATTGCTCACCGTTACCCACATGGGAATAGAGGTTACTTCTGGCTGAGATTCCTCTACTACAGGACTCCACTTGGAGACGATCACTGGAATATTTTTGATACTCCACATCCCTCTACGTAAGACACGAGATCTTATTGCAACGTCCGGAATTTTGAATTTCACAGTCGTATCGTCCACAACAAACACATCCACCTTAATCTGTTTGTTGCCCAACGTCCAAATTTTATTGACCGTCATGTGGATCATTCCCACATGAGGCGCTTTCGCTGCGAACTTCCCAACAATGCAATCCTCCCAAAGAGGAGGGGCATTTTCGAAGACGCTATCTGGAACCTTGATCGTTTCCACACCATCTACATCCTCCACCACCACATCAAACTTTTGCAAACCAATCTTTGGGGCAACCACCGAAACCCAAGACTTTTCCTTCAGTGTCTCTTTTGAGACGGTAATCACCTCACGATCAGATTGCAAACCCTGCTGGTCCTCCTGCGTCTCCTTCACAATTCCCATCTGCGTGCCCTCCACCAAACCATGCTCCGATTGCACCAAACCCAAACCATCCTCCTTCTGCACCGAACCCTCCAAAGCTTGAACCTCCAAGACCTGCGCAACCTCCTGAGACGGGGGAACCTCCTGTTCCTGCGCCGTCATACTTGCCGGAACCCTAGCGTAGGGAAGCGGCCAGTGGCAAAACCCAAGAGAAGCAAATCGCCTTTCAAATCGCCTGGTTGCTGACGTGTCCTTTTCTTCTTCCGCAATTTCGCCAAGCTGCATGCATGAATTGGTTGGTTAAAAAGAAACTTTACGTTAGAAGATGTTACAAAATCACAAAATCAACCAAATGTACATGAGATACCTTTCTGTTGAACGACAACGAGACACGTGTATCAATTATAAATTTAGGCTTGGGAGGGTCCAAGTCGAGATATTCAAAAGCTTCCTCCAAACTTGGAATGTCAGATTCCTTTATGCCATGGCCAATCCAAGTTTTGTTGTCGAGAGCGTAGCCGACAGTTTTGGAGATGTCAAAGAGCCAATCTCGAATATCACTTTCCTTGAAACCACCATAAGGTCTACGAAGGATAGAGTGGCACTGAGCAATGGGCTCCAGCGTCTCAGTCACAAGATCCATCGATCCGAACCGGTAACTCCCAAAACGATTTTTTTTAATTCAAAGAAAGCAATTACATCGTCGTACATGATTTGAGATTTGAGAAATAAGTTCTTTTTTAGGGTTTGGAAGAGGCAGAGAAAGACTTACAGAACAAGTAGGTTTGGATTTTGTTACCTCTCAATGTCTGGCTCATTGAAACGCGCCATAACAGCTGCAGCATTTGTTAAATCTATGAGATAAGAAATCATGGGATGGTAACCACAACCCACATATTTCTTCAACTTATCTGGCTCAGACAACAAACAAACAGTTTGTAACTCTTTATGCTTGCTTATCTAAGAACAACTTACATATAATGTGTTTATATATATATATATATATGAACTTACATATAATGACACAATGTCTGCACAAAGCTTGATAGCATTAAGATTCTCTAGGCAATTGATTCCTTCATTACCTAAACCAACGCGTACCGCAAGGTCTGCATGAAATGGTTGGTTAAAAAAAGAAGAACTTTAAGTTATAGATGTTACAAAATCACAAAATCAACAAGTTAACAAAGAACAAAATCCAAATACAAAGATACCTTCCTGTATCCGGAAGACAACAAGACACGTGTATCGTAGATAGCTTTGGCTTTGGGAGGTTCGATGCCGATATATGCAAAGGCTTTCTTCAATCGTTGAACGTCGTCGAATCCATTTATGCAATGGCCAATCCAAATTTTACTGTCGAGCAAGCAGTGGACAGAATTGGAGTTATCAAGGAGCCAAGCTCGAATATCACTTTCCTTCGCATCCACATATTTGCTAGGATATTGAAGAGCATTCGAGACTGAACCAATGGGCTCCAGCGTCCGAGACAAAACGTCGACACATCCGAACTGATCTTGTTTGAATTCAACGAAAGCAATTACTTAGTCGCACATGAGTTTTGAGATCTGAGAATTAGCGTTTTTTTTATGTTTGGAGAAAGACTTATAGAAGAGGTGGCGGCAATTCAGTAAATAAGATTGGATTTGTTACCTCTCAGAGTCTCAATGTCTAGTTGATGATTACATATTTCTTTTCCTTTTATACGTAGGGTTTTAGGTTTTTATGTTTAGTTTCTATTTTCTAGATTATTGTTATTTTCTTTTTTTTGTAGGTTTAGCCTCCCCCTATTTAACTAAGTGTTGCCTTTTTTTTTTTTTCCAGACTTTGATAATTAATAAACAAGAGAGTCATGGATCCAATATGGTCTCTTATTAAAGGGTTTGTTTGTTTGTTTAAGCCCCGAGTGCCTCTTTAGTATTTGTATGTCAGTTTGTTTTTTCGATGGCTTTGAAAGACAAGGGTTTGTTCTTGAAGCTCCGGCTTTGAAATTGGCAATGGTGGTCGTGGTGATGCATAGCCCAAGTCGTCATGCTTCTTCTGAGAAGGTAGACGAGATTTTGATGGTGTTTGAAAGTTTTTGGCGTTGATTCTTTCTAATTTGTTTCATTCACTGCTCTCGTTCTGTTGAGTTTGGTGATTTCCGGCCGTGCTCCTTGTCACTTGTTAACAGAATATAATGATTCAATTAATAAAATCAATAAACCCCCTAATTAATATAATTAGACGAATACCTATGTCATCAATGTTAGGACTAACAGAATAACACCTATGTTTATAATTAAACAAAAAAAGTTATACATAAATGTTAGCATTCCATTAATAAGAAAGTATTAAAAAAAACTTTTCAATTGCCTTGACAACACCAAACTGACTTGCCGCTCCATGTAATCTTTCGACTTCCAATGATGAAACCAAGGTGGACTTCACTGATTCAAAGAAAACAAATCAGCGGGATAAGTGTGAGCAGGCGATGTGGAAATGAGCCTGGTTACTTGCTTACCAAGCCATAACTATAGCACCACTGTGCATATTGTTTTTTCCAACTACTCTAGTGGTCTTGAGTATTGACCACTAATCACATATCTATTTTATGGAAGTTGGAACTAATTTCATGATGGATCATAGATGACATATTTCCATGACCACTTGGGCAAACCAACTTCACTGGATTAGTAAATTACAGTACTTAGCAATATTTTTTGTGGTTTTGAAAAATATAAGAAAATGAAAAGAAAAAGAAAACAAGAAGAAGAGGAGTTGTTGAGGCTTGAGGGATAGTCAAAGGGAGGAGCAGAAACAGCGGCGTCAAACGAGAAGATTCTGACTGGTAAAATTTCAATTTCCAAAAGATCTTCCTAATTTTTTTATACTCTACTTAAAATCATAAAGAAATGTTAACTTGTTTGTTTGCCTTTCAACATAAAACATTTATTTAACATAATTCATATGGTGATTTAAAAAATATAAGTAAATTTAGAAATGGGGATCCAACTGTGAGACTGGTCCTACAATCTTCCCTCATTGGTACTGAACGAACCTTACATCTCCTCGAAAAGCCAAATCTCTTTTTCTGTTTTTGTTTCGATCTTCTTTTTTTTTCACAGTCTTTCGTTTTCCATTTATAAAATGGTTCCTCTACTTTTGTCGTCTTCTTGTCAGAATCTTTGACCATCTTTGTTCTAATATGTTTAAATTTTACACTTGCCTCTCGTGAAAACTAAGTTTGACCCGACTTTTCAATTTTAACTTCTTTGAGACGTTGGTTTAGCTTTTCTTTTTCTTGAACCATGTTATTAGGTTCAACAAAACTATCTACAAAAACCATAATCCATAATCAAATTTGGTCAAGTGAATAGAAATATACAGTGATTACCAACTTTTACTCGCTAAACTGATTATGCTTAAACTCAACGACATCTTTTCATCATTCATAATTTTAATATCTATTAAAAAAATTGTGACCAAATCATTCAATTATTTTGATTTGGACTTCTTAGTTTTTTTTATTTGACACTGACATAGTGTTTGCATATTATTAAATTTCAAAATATTGTTCCTCTGCTAAAAAAAGTTAAAAACATGACAGGTAAAAAAATTAATTAAAAACTGATGAGAAAAAATAAAAATAAAATCATAAAATGGGCTAATCTCCAACAACAGGCCACAACTTTTCGCCACGTAAGCAACTTCTATGGTTTAGAAAGTTTTGGTCACGTGGAGCCCATGTCGACTCCACGAGAGGTCTCTCTTGTTGTTTTTTGGAACTAAGCCTAAAAATTGATTTCTTTAAAAAAGGAAAGAAAATAAAAAACCGTCACCGACCTCACCACTCACCAGCTGTGTCCGAGAGCGACCGGACCAGGCAAGCCATCTCACCGAGGCGGGACCCACCGTGACTTATCCACGTCAGACCTGACTCGACTAATCGGGCAAACCAGCTGCCACGTGTCTAGCGCCGTAGTATAGATCCATAGTGTGGGGCCCTTCAATATGATCGGCGGTTTTTTTGGAGCTATTAATAACCATATTACTTAAATAATTAAATTAAATTAGTTAACCATCATCGCGTTGTAACAACCCACCGTGGGAGGAAAAACTCTTCTTAATCACGGTAATTAATCCACGCGCTATTCGTCTTCCTTTTATCTCACGCGCTGGTTTCATTGGTACGTGTAATACACGTAAACGTCACCTTATATGTTCAAAAACCTTGTGGCGAGTCAACAACCGTCGGGAGAGAGTTTTGAATCATTAAATACGAAAAAAGTTCTGTTTGTTTTTTATTTATTTATTCTGAACCTTCCGAAAAAGCTTATTTATTTATTTTCTAAATCAGAAAAAGAGTAAAAGTTTTGGACTTATTTATTTTGGGGATAGTTTCTGCGATTTTCTCGGGGACTTAAAGACATTCACAGTTCTTCTTTTGCCAAATCTTTAGAAAAAAAGAAAAAACAATTCGTCTTTCCCATTTATTTTCTGTGTCCCTTATTTGATTGCCGAGAAACCGCGAGAAACAAAAAAAAAAAAAATCGAGAAGGAGAGAAAAAAAAATCCGTCTTTTAAAAATCTTTTCTTCTTCCCGTCGTTTCCGTTTTCAGTTTCGAAGGTGTATCTGCATTTTGTCTCAGGAATTTGTTAGCTCAAGGTTCGTCTTCCTCTTGGTTTTCCCTCTCTGTGTTCTTCTTCGTTATGAGCTCGGATTCGGTTTTCTTATGATTAAATGCCTGAACCGGTTTAAAAACCGGAATTTTTCTTCTGGGTTTTTTGGAATTGGTACTTTGTGGGTTGGATTGGTTGAGTGACAATGATTTGTCAAGCTTTACGCGTTACACATTTCTGAATAGTTGGTGGGTCTAACATGTTTTTCAATTGTCTATATCCTGCAAGTGTGTTATAGAAACTTGGTAAATGGTAACATTAATGTATTTTTCGAAACCATACAAATTCTGATGCATTAGTGGCAATACGCTATTCAATTTTTATATACATGTATACATCTGTTTTCTATCAATGTACATAAGTTTCAAATGTGAGATTTTTTTCTGTATGAGTCAGAAATTCTGTTTGGACAAATATTCCCAATTTTGTTCCTTTGGTAGCAGAACCCTCATAGAGGTGTTACAATTGCAAAATTCTATTATAAAGTCAAGTCATTTCATGAATAATGTGTTTTCTTGATTAACTCTTTCATAACAATTGTCAGGAAAACAAAACCTTTTTTGTTTGTTTCTCATTTGATGAATAGCTTGAGGCCAATATCTAACTTTGGTATCCAATGTCTTCCTGTTATATTAGCTTAATAGAATGCTTTCAAAAATATTTAATTTCTTTGAGTCAAACAGAATAAAACCTTGTTCACACCTCGCGTAGCTTTGTCTTAACTGTGTTCTGTTTCTTTCTTGGGATCTGCATTTCAGGGTCCTTCGAGGAAGAGGATTCTTATATTGAGTTAAGAAAGTTGGAGCTTCTTCTTTCCAAATTATCCGTGAAGAAACTTGGATATCTATATATAGTTTGGTAACAATCATCTAGTGTTGTTGTTATGGACATAAAATCTGGTCACTCGTCTCCTGTAATGACTGACTCTCCGCCAATAAGCAATTCAAGATTAACCATTCGTCAGAATAGACTCCCTTACTCATCAGCCACGGCTATTTCACAGAACAACAATCTTTTGCTAACCGTTCCTAGAAAGAAAACTGGTATCCTTGATGATGTGAAGTCCAGTGGCTGGCTTGATGCAATGAAATCTTCTTCTCCTCCTCCAACAATACTTAACAAAGACAACATAAGCAGCGATGCTACGGACATGACTTATCGTGAATGGACGGTCTGTTCCTTACTGTTCTCCTTTTCTTTTTACTGAACATTGCAATGTTGTTATGATCTGATGATCTTGTTTTCTGTCTTGTAATAGCAGCTCAAGTATCCATCAGCTCTTACTACTTTTGAGAAAATCATGAGTTTTGCAAAAGGCAAAAGAATAGCATTGTTTCTTGATTATGACGGGACACTTTCTCCTATAGTTGAGGAACCTGATTGTGCGTACATGTCAAGTGCTGTAAGTTTTTCTTAACTTATCTTTATTCAATTCAAATGCTAAAACAACTCAAATCTGTGCTTCATCCTCCTAATGAATCTTATGCCTTATGCCGTTTTTACATGTTTAGATGCGTACTGCAGTGCAAAACGTTGCCAAGTACTTCCCAACAGCGATCATTAGTGGAAGAAGCCGCGATAAGGTAATGTTTACACATTTCATCTTCTTCATCAAGAAAGTTTTGTTGTGTGGTCTAATGTAATTAACCATTTTTTGCTTCAGGTATATGAGTTTGTTGGATTGAGTGAACTTTATTACGCTGGAAGCCATGGAATGGATATCATGAGTCCTGCAGGAGAATCTCTAAACCACGAACAACTTAGCCGTACTGTATCAGTCAACGAAAAGGTTTTGTTTTCTTGCTTTTGCTTGTTTTTCTGCAATATTTGGTTTAATAGATCAGATTCTTGAAATGTGGTTTTTTGGAAAATTTCAGGGGAAAGATGTAAATCTGTTCCAGCCTGCTAGCGAGTTTCTACCAATGATCGATAAGGTATTTCACAATACAGTCTTCTAATGTATAGCTTAGTGATAAAAACATTGGATTGATTGTTGGTTGTTGAAATGATCTTTCTCAGGTGCTTTGTTCGCTTGTAGAGAGTACAAAGGATATCAAAGGGGCAAAAGTAGAAGACAACAAGTTCTGCATCTCTGTGCATTACCGCAATGTAGAAGAAAAGGTTTGGTTTTCTCTATTTGATAAACCAGTTTGGTTCCCTTAAACCAATTTTTTTAATAACTCTTCTTTACACAGAACTGGAATTTGGTTGCACAATGCGTTGATGATGTCATTAGAACATATCCAAAGCTACGGCTAACACATGGCCGCAAGGTAAAATATCAGAATCTCTGATAAATGTCAACAAAAGAAGTTCGAATAAGTTTCAAAGATTTGATTTTTGTTTCTTGGTTTGTTTGCCTTACTTCCAAAAGGTTCTTGAGATCCGACCTGTTATTGACTGGGACAAAGGGAAAGCTGTGACATTTCTACTTGAATCTCTTGGTATGTTCACAATCTCTTCTCCTCTGCTTCTGTTCTGAATCTTGGTTTGGTCATTGACACTGAAACATTTCTTCAGGCCTAAACAACTGTGAGGATGTTCTTCCAATCTATGTCGGGGATGATCGAACAGACGAAGATGCATTTAAGGTTTGTTATTGCTATAAGATCCAAACCTCAAATTCCAAACATTCTTATCAAAGAACTAGTTTTGACTTAAGGGGCAATGATGTCAGGTATTACGAGATGGACCAAACCACGGTTATGGTGTATTAGTCTCTGCTGTGCCTAAAGACACCAATGCCTTTTACTCGCTTCGTGATCCATCTGAGGTAAACTAATAAATCACTTAAATAGTGAAATACTTAAGCTATGGTTATGATTCTTGACCATGAGTTTGATCTCAGGTGATGGAGTTTCTGAAATCATTGGTGACATGGAAGAGATCAATGGGTTAGTAGAAGAGGAGGAAGAAGAAGTAGAAGAAAATGGCTGACGTTAATATATATATTATATATATGGAAGTTAGAAGATTATTGTTATACAGAGGGAATGGAGAAAGAGAGATGATGCAAAAGTAAAAGCATTTTAGTTTTCTTTCTTCAGTTCTTGTTTTTTCTTTAAAGTTTGTTTAAATTACCGTTTAGATTTAACTTAACGGCGTCGGTGGAGAGATTACATGAAGGCTTAAACACATGCCGGAGATCTTTTTTCCGATCAGTCTCTTATCTTCGTTTTCTCTTACAATTGTAAATTCTTCTTTCATCTTGGACAAGTGGTTCTTTGGTGTTATTAAATTTCGGATTACTTCAAAACTTTTATCTCATTTTGGGTTTTTTTTTTTTGCATTTCATGTGAAGCAATAACTTATCTTATTATAGAGAAAAAATATGCCAAATAAGGTTCTCATTTTTCAATTAAAACTAGTTAACTTTTCCGCTATGATGTAAGATTGTTTGAAAATCTAATAATAGTTTAGATTTATTTGTTGTTTTATTCTTGAGTATATTTGTTTGTTAGATTTCTTTGCATTTTAATGTTGAAAGACATGATCGTGAAAACAATATAGAATAGAAGAGAGTAAACAAAAATATAGTAGTATCTAAATAATTTAGTTTAAATAGTTTTGAGATCTTATGATCATTGTTCTATATATTTTAGACGTAATATTTTGAAGTACTGTATGAACTTATTCAATTTTGATCACTATTTTATGTATTATAAATATTATAAATACCGTCATTCCATTAATTAGATATCCTATATATTAAATGAGAATGTAGTTTAATGAAAAAATCCGATTTTTTTTTTAATTTGATTGGCTTAGAAAACCTCCCTGCCAACGTCAATGATGACATTTATTCCATGTCAAATGTGACATGGCAAGGTCGCTAGCTCTGCGCAATTTCATTGGATGATGATGCTGATGTGTAAATTCTGTCCAAGTTTTTATGATATAAAATAATTAAGAAAAGAGAAAATCACAAATGGATAAACACGCGGATCTTTATACCCAACCCGACCCAATTATCTGTTTTTAAGAATATTTGGCCTATACGTCTGAAAAGCCCATTTCTAAATTTATTGGAATGATTGATTCTTAAAATATTTTCCGCGTAAGAAAATATAAATGATTCCCAAAATGGAAGATTACATTAACTATTAGCAGGATTTACCGGAGTTAATGTAACAAAATATACAGAAATCTTAATTTTTCAAAAAGAAACAAGAATTTATGTTACAGTTTAATACTAGACATCAATTTTGGCAATTGAATCAATTTGAATATATTGATTCTCAAATATTCCCGCAACAATACCTACTTCTACGCACATTCCGAATATCCATATTCTTCATTTCATTCTCTTTCTCAAAATAATTAATTTTTCAAAAAGAAACAAGAATTTATGTTACAGTTTAATACTAAACATCAATTTTGGCAATTAAATCAATTTGAATATATTGATTTTTAAATATTCCCGCAACAATACCTACTTCTACGCACATTCCAAATATCCATATTCTTCATTTCATTATCTTTCTCAAAATAATTGAAATCCCGCCTAACATCATTTTAAAAATGTTTTCATTCACTTCCTCTCCCTATATATACCACCTATCGTAAATCCTAAAACTCTACCATTCTCATTCACTAAAATGGCTTTAGTCCTCAGACGTTCAGGCCTGCTATAGTTCCATTTGCCAAATTAGATCAATCAAGTGAAATTCAGAAAGTTAGAGCTATTATATTTTCACTTTGGAAAGTCAAGAATAGGCAGTCTGGCTTTGTTATAGAAATGGTATTGGTTGACGAAGAGGTTTGTATGCGATCTTATATATTTTTCTTATTGTTATTTTAAGTAATCTATAGATTATATAGTAATACTATTTACGTGTGATTCACAGGGCACTAGGATTCACACTACTGTTGATGAAGAATTGATCGCAAAACATAAAGGGATCCTTATAGAAGGAAAATCACTTTCTATTAATTGCTTCATAATTAAAGAATACTATGATGATTTTAGGACGACTCCATTACCATACAAGATCGCTTTGTGCAGGACAACCCGTGCTAAGGAGATTAATGATTTTCCATCAGATTTGCCAGAGAAATATTTCTCTGATTTCAAGTCAATCAAGGAAGACAAACTCGACAAAAACATCCTCATCGGTATGTCATCATCTTGATTATGAAATTTATATTATAATAATGTACATATTTATCATTGAATACAAATATTTTTCTTGAAGATGTCATTGGACAAATTGTCACCGTTGGGAGTATGGAAGTTATAAAAACTAAAGGAAAAAGTGGGATCAGCGAGAAATTGATGATAACACTTCGGGATACCAAGTAAGTGGTTATGATATCATACCAATATAAAGATAACAATATTTTTAAAAAATTTAACGCTAATATGTTTACTGATGAAGCGATGTCCAACTGAAATGTACACTATGGGGACAATATGCTAAAGCAACTGTTGAGTACACTAATAAACATATGGCTGTTATTGTTGTGTGTGTAATGCGATTTGTCTGTATAAAAGAGTACAAAAGTTAGATCACTATATCCCCTATTCATATATATACAGTTTTTAGAGATTTAGGGTTTGAATTAGTTTGTTAATTATTCTTTTTTTAATGTTTTCCGAGTATAGGTGACATTTCAATATTCCGAGTATAGGTGACATTTCAATATCAAATGCTTTCAACTCCACCAAAATTCTGTTTGATCCTGACTTCAAGATCGTGAAAGACTTCAGAGAAAAGTTTGTTATGTGACAATTTAATATCATTTTAAAATTGTAGAATTTATATAATTATAGGATTACGTTTTTGTAGGTTGCCAAAAAACAATCAAATGATTGTGCATGCTGAACAGAGTTATTCGACTTCTTGGGGTGGTGCTATTGACTACCGTGAAGAATTCTTAGGTGTGAAAAATAAGAGGCGGACGATAGCTGGAATTCGTGATACAAAAGTGGTATGAGCTATATATTTTGAAAATGGTATAAATATATTTACATTTAACTATATACATATTAATGGTTTTGTTATAGCGTGGCAAGATTGTAACATGTGTTACGGTCAAAGACATTGACACTTCAAAGCTGTGGTATTATTGGGCATGCAAACCTTGCAACATCAAAGTTTTAGAGCATGGAATTATGTCTGATGATGAAGATTACGATAAGAGGATTCCTCTTTTCAGTTGCAAGAATTGTGGTGATATTTATTCATATGATACCATTGTCGCAAGGTAATACAATGATTTGTCCCATAAAGTCAATAAAACATTACTTATTTCATTAATTATTTCTTAGGTAATATATTTAGCACATATAGCAGAATTATAAATATTGACTTTCTCTGATTGACTGGATTAATGTTCGCCTTATTTTATTACATTGATTCGTCTCATCATACATTTATTCCGACACTACATTACATGTTTATGATTGTAACGTTTAAATAACTCATTCTTTTATTATATTTCAAACAATGTAGGTACTACATTGTATTATTTGTAACTGATGATTCAAACGTCGATGTCCACTTCTTGATGTTTGATGACACTGCTCAAAGGTTGTTAGGTCATTCAACTGAGTCTATAATGGAACAAAATGATGAGGTTAGTTGTGTAATAATTTTGTACATTATGCAATATTTACATTTTCTTAAATAATATTAATCCATTATATATAATGATGCGCATGATTTACCAAGAGGACTCACTGATGGCTTGACAAAGCTCCTAACTATGAGGATGCTTTTCAAAATAACAGTTTCAGAAGAACATACAAAAGGAAGCCAGTCGCCGTATGTAGTAGAACTATGGTCTCAAGATGTCGACATTATGACTGAGTGAGATTCTCGATCAGAGATAATATATGATAAATTTTTACAAACTTCTAAAGCTCGCTTTTTTCATCGTTTAGTTAAATTAAGACATCAACAATGTACATATGTCTCCAGCAACCGTTGATGCTTACGAGTTCAGGCGAACTTGAGAATCCATCGCCTGGATCTTCACTCACTGCTTCTTCTAAGAAGGTAATTAAGAGTCCCGACTATTTGGATGAAGGTGAAAGATCTGTTAACAAAAAGCAACCGAAGCAAGAGATCCCAATGAAGTTATGAAGAAGCAAGACATCGTAATGAACTTATTGCAGAAATGCATTTCTGGTGATTGATTATTGCTTTTGATATTTGTAACCAATTTGTCCCATGGGTGGATAACGTTTGAACTCTATTCCTTATTTTGTTTGGGGTATTTGTGGAACATTTTGGCGTATTTTATTTAATCGTGGAACTTTAATGTTGCCCTAGATTGTTTTTTCCTAATTATATTTTTTTGAAACTTTAATTTGTGATTTTTTATTTCCAACCAACTGTCATAAATTTACACGAGAGTTTCAATTAAGACGACATTAAAACAGTAACCGTTTTACTCCATCACATAGAAAACTATTCATTTTCTTATACTCTTTCATCTTTCATCTTCACAAAATTATTAAAACAAAGAATGTCTCATTGTGAAAGACTTTCCGATCTTCAGATTTCAAACGGTGGATATCGTATTTGTGTTCAGACACTAAGAGATTATTATGATTAAACTATCTTCGATCGACCTAATCGGATGTTAGTTCTTGCGGATGAATTTGTAAGTTTTTCAAGTTTGAAAAAATTTACCGTTTATATGTTTTAGGAATGTTTTTCTAAATTATTTATTTTTATAAACCGTGTAGGGCAATCGCATCCTGTCTACTATTCAATATGATATTGAAGGAGATTGCGTTTTTCTTGGTAATTTTGAAGTTACTGACAGAGTGATTCGTCCAAGTATATCATCAAACAACTATCATATACATTTCCTCGAGGATACCATTGTTGAGAAAACCGATCCGAAGTCTTCAAGAGGAATATACTATTTTTATAATTTCATGAATATTTTATATAGATTTATTCATACAGATAGATATCTTGGTATGTTTCTTACAACTTTTTTTAAAAAAATCGTTTATCTAAGGAACTCCAACATGTATAAAGGCACACCTTTATTGTTGCAGTTGATCTTCTCGGCGTTGTCACATTTGTTCAGAAACTTCAGTTGGGAGTTCCTATGTCCGATACATCGGACACACCCACGGAACGTCCACTTATTCGTTTTAAAATTCAAGATTTCAGGTGTGTACAACTTATTCTGAGAACATCTGTTATTTGTATATTTTTTATTTTGAAACCAATTTTAAAGTATAATAATAATGTTCTAAATGATTTAAATATACAGTGGAGAAACTTTG